TGGCCAGTTACTTGTCAGAAACTCGATATTATACTGGCCAGTTTCTGGTTAAAGTCTAGTTGAACTGGCCAGTTACTGGCCAAAAACTCGATTTCATTTCTACCAGGGACACTTGACGAATTTAAAGAAAAATGTACTTTATATCTATTAAATCAGGAGTTTAATTTTGGACTTGATGCTTAGATGTGATACTTTGATATTTTAATAATATGTATGAGCGATGATTAATGTCCCTATATACTCTGTGTTATAAATTATAAAATTATAAAATTAAATTAGAGTAGCTAATAACATTGTTCAAAATTAGTATTAAAGAAATATGGTCCCAAGGAGTTTACTCCAGGATCGAAGCAAATAAATAAATTAATTAATTAATACTTTGAAGGTTATAATTTTTTGCGGGAATTTCGCCAATAGAGAGGTCGCTTACCTCCGTACTAATAGTTAACCTTAGTTGTAAAAACTCACACATTAACCTTATTTATTACCTTATACTAATTATACTGGCCAGTTTTTGGTTAAAGTCTAGTTGAACTGGCTAATGTCCCTATATACTCTGTGTTATAAATTATAAAATTATAAAATTAAATTAGAGTAGCTAATAACATTGTTCAAAATTAGTATTAAAGAAATATGGTCCCAAGGAGTTTACTCCAGGATCGAAGCAAATAAATAAATTAATTAATTAATACTTTGAAGGTTATAATTTTTTGCGGGAATTTCGCCAATAGAGAGGTCGCTTACCTCCGTACTAATAGTTAACCTTAGTTGTAAAAACTCACACATTAACCTTATTTATTACCTTATACTAATTATACTGGCCAGTTTTTGGTTAAAGTCTAGTTGAACTGGCTAATTACTGGCCAAAAACTCGATTTTATATCTACCAGGGACACTTGACGAATTTAAAGAAAAATGTACTTTATATCTACTAAATCAGGAGTTTAATTTTGGACTTGATGTTTAGATGTGATACGTTGATATGTTAACAATATGTATAAGCGATGATTAATGTCCCTATGTACTCTATGTTATAAATTATAAGCTTATAATAATGAAACTAAATTAAAAAATTAGTTGAAAAGGATTTCTAACAAGCAAATGAATAATGTAGTAGGTAAAAATGTTTAGGAGATAAATATATATAGCAGAAAACAGTTAGGAGTTGACAAGTCCCGGCTATATGGTGAATTTTTAGCGAGTACTTATCGGGACTGTGGAATGCTCTTGAGCTTGAGGTTGAGCTCTCTCGAGAGTTTGAGTCAAGTGTGTCCAGGTATCCGGCGAAGGTAGAGCGAGACAGAGGAAAGAAAGAGACTTGTGTCTCCTGATACTGGGTATAGAGAAAAGCAAAGAGCCGAGAGCCTTTGAGAATAAAATTTATCCATTTTAAAAGTACGTTCGTGCTGTATCGGTAAGGGTCGGAACGGCTCAATCGCACCTACTCCCAACTACCAACTGCTCACTCTTCTGACTTGATACTGAGTACTCTTGCTGACTACTGACTATCCTCGGTCCAGCTCTCGGTGGAGTTGATGAAGAGCGACGATAACATTCATGAGCCAGCGAGCGGGACCAGTCGCGCTAACACGCGAGCGATTAGCATAAAACGAGTCTCATTAGCGAGAACGTACGCGCCTCGTCCGAAATATACACAACCCGGAACTGTCACTATAGGCATCTTCATCTAGACTAGAATACTCATGCAATTCTACTCTGTTATTTAGCCTCCACTGCCGATAGCATGGACCGAGGGCACCATTTTACTTTTTAACGCTGCTGGTTGGTTAGACAGGCCTTTAGATAGCCGTTTTGTCCATTATTGTCTTTGGTTTTCATATAAAAGCTGTAGATTGATCCATTACGTCGTTTTTATTAAATAAAAGCTTCAAAGAAAACAGCCTTAAGATTTCATAGAAATTAGGCTTAAGCTTCTGGTTATTTCTGGCATTTACATGAAAGTTAAACATCAAAATGAAGAAAATTTTCCGGGGAGATGGCTTAAAGCCTTTAAAAGATTGTATTCTACAGAAATGCGGCTTAAGGATTCATAAAAATCAGGCTTAAGGTTTTATATAAGCCAGATTTGAAGCTCTCTTGAATTTCGCAAGAACCTTCAAATTCAAACTTAATGAACTTTAGCAGCAAGATCTAATACCTTTAAAAGATCAAAATCTGTGGGAAATATGACTTAAGGTTTCATAGAAAGAAGCCATGACGTTTTATAGAAATTAGGCTTAAGGTTTGTTGATATTTACATAAAACTTCAAGATTAAAAAGATGAAAATTTGGCGGGAACAATGGCCTAGAGCGTTTAAAAGGTTATATTTTATAGAAATGCGGCTTAAGGTTTCATAGAAACAATCCTTAAGGTTGAAATTTGAAAAAAATTAAGCTTAAGCTTTTAAAAAATTGAATTTTGTAGAAATATGGCTCCAGATTTCATAGAATATGTTTCTAAAAATTCCAACAGATGGCGATACTAACGTAAAAATGATGCTCCTAAGTCAAAAGAGCGGGAATTTTTAAAAAAAACATAAAAAAATAGCTTTATATGTTTTTAAGTTGTGAATATAAGTAAAAAAGCGCAATTTTATGTTGTGGGTAAAAAAAAAAATATCTGACAAAACTTCTATTTATAGCGATGAAGAAAAATGATTAAATTGTAAGCGATCTGAAGATAAGACAACCTCAAAAAAGGTGTCAAAAATTCCGGGAACAGAAAGTTAGTCCAGCAAAAAAGTAATTTTATAAATTACTCAATTAATATCTTAGTGAAAAAGTGAATTTAAATCACAAGTCCGAGCATGCAACCTTGGTGTATGATTTTTTAATAACCTCAGAATAGTTAATGCCCCGCGGTGAAAATTAATCGATTTAAATATAGATATATGTGGATATGTATATGTATATCCAATTCCCGGTATGTTTTTTAAAAAATTTAAATTGTTAGTTGTCTGACAACAGACGAAGATTATCTATTTTTTATCAGAGAAGACAAAAAGGCAGTGTTGTTATTTATCTGGTTATTTATCAATGATAATTTAAACAAAGTACCTTAACAACTTTGTTGAGCGGACAGACCGTGACAAAATGTGACAAATGGTCACCCTTAATCTCCAGCTGGTATTTTATATTTAAAACCGTTGTAATAATTAAGTGGTGTATTAATGCTGCAATCGGCATTTAAGCATTAGCAATAAGCGATTATGCTGCAACTCTCCAGTGGATTATTGTTGGATCGGAAGATTGTATTGCCGCAATAAGTCTGCGGCCTTGCAAGGATGCGGGGCACAATTTACATTTTATTATTATTTATTTATATTTATATTCATAATAAATTTAAATAACGCCTTACATGGAAACAATAAAAGTCTCCGAGATGGTAGCATGATACATCATCTATTGTCATCCTGCATCACAACTCTAAGCGTCATGAGACACCTGTTATGTCGCCGTAAATTCACCGACACGTGTGCTCAGCTCGACATTTACACATGGACAGCACATCCTGTACACATGCAGCCATTAATTTCATCTGACAAGATTGACTGCTTTTAAATGGTCAGATTTGTCTTCAGAGTTTTATTTAACCTTTTTTATTTTAATTTCTTCTTTTATTTCAGTGGAAGCACTTTTTTTTAATGTTTAGTCAACTACGTCCGGGCTACGACTGAAATTTTCGCTTCCCCCACTACCGCATCTGATCCCCCCACTCCTTACCGTGCATGCGCAAAGGCTCTATGACCCTCAATTTAAATCCAGGTACTTACCTGGTATCTCAGAAAAATTAATTAATTTAAAAGGTAAGATAACATTTTTTTATTAATTCTGGATAAATGGCCGGTCTGACGGACCTAACCAAAAAAAGCTAACCTCCAAGCTAACAAAAAAAAAAAGATCTCCAAATGTCAAAGCTAGTCTCATAAATCCAATGAATCATCTGTAACCTAAAAAATTAATTAAACATTTTAGATAAAAAATTGTAACCTTAAAATATTTGATTAAGTGAAGAATTGATGTAATTGCGACAATTAAAATAGAATAATTGATTTAGATGAAGACGTGATCTCAGTGAGTTACTATAGGTTTATTAATATTGTAAATATAATAGTACTAACGATTAGTAAACAGCGATTATTTACATTACAAATCGATGACTACCGATGATGAGTTACATCAGGTACTAAAATAACAATTTGCGGTCAATCAGTTAAAACATTTTTATTTATCATAAATATAATGAAATACAATGAAGAATTATAAACGTCTGCCACCGCTGTTTACATCCACGCGTGACTAATATTTACGTCGAGCAGTTGGGAATAAAAATAATTTTTTTCAGTCATGGCATTTAACAATAATGATAATAAGTATATATAATATAATGTTGAAGAAGTATAAGTACAAAAAGACAAAATTGTATTTAGTATTTAGTGTTTAGTATGATATTACATTAAGTATCGGCTGGTTGGGTATAACCCCGGCCGTTTCATTGAACATGAAAATACGGTCATAGCCGCGTACCGCGGGATCATAGGTCGAGGCAAGAGAGAAAGATACCAAATGACGTCATAAACACCTGAAGGAGGATCTAAGATCGTAAATTGCTTCAGGGTCATCCATACTACATACTACATACTCTTTTCTACACAAATATAAATATATCCATAAATCTATACAAATATTTAACTGCACAATTGCTATTTTATCATTATTATTTTTATCCAGACAATAAACTCTGTAATAATTAGTATATATATATATATATATATATATATTTTTTTTTATGATTGATGACGATTACTAATTCGCAATCTTCGAATCATCGAGATCATAAACACATCATTAATTTTATTTTCAATTTTAAATTATCTTTTATTAATTTTTTATTGTGAAATTTTAGGTTAAAAAATTTATTTATTGATTTCGCGGTTAAGAAAATTATTTAATTAATTTTTTACCTATAAATTGAAAAGTTGGTAAAAATAAATAAGTTATTATAAAACCTTAAATTGACTTATTAAATTTTCATTAAAATTAATAGTCTCCCAAAATAATTTTTGACCAAAGTCTGACTGCATCTCCATTTGAATGTCGGTCAGCCCGTAAATATGGAGATAATTAAGCAACTTTGAGGTTGGATCGACTGTTGTCCATCGAGTGTTCGCCTTGGGGATTCTATTGACAAAGTAAAAAAATCCGTTATTAGACCACTATTCATTATTCATGAATTTTTATATAAAAGACAACCCGTGGGCATTCATTCGATAACTGGATTATATTATATATATTATACATTATATAACACAGTCTTTGGAGTTAGTTTACTTTACTAAATCATCACCTGTTGTAGCTGAGGCTCTATGGGACTCAAGCCCAATAGTTAATAGAAACTATTGACTATTCAAACTTGGGATTAAAAGGATACCAGGAAGATCAGGTGATCGCACTTCTGAAAATCAAATTCATTTGGCATTGTCGTCGCACTTCCGGATCAAATTGAAGGTTATATAGTGATTGACTATTAAAACACACTAAAAAAATATATGTTATAGAATCAAATATTGACTAGGCAGCTTAACAATTTGTTAAAAAAATTGGCTTTAAAATTTTTAAATAAGAAAATTTATTCACCCGTCTGTAGCAAAAGAGATCCAAATGTCCAGCAAGACCTTCTGCATGGCAAGAGATTTTCCATCAGTAATCTCCGGACGCCGAGGATCATTCAGTACCAAACGGAGATCATCAGCATGACTGACACCCAAGTTAGGTTTGGAAGGAATAAATAAATCTGACAAACTGTCAGGCTTGCGGAAAGAATAAAGAGAAAACCAAACTGGGCTCTTGTTAGCCTCCGCCATCATCCTTGCAGCTTTTTCGGCATCTACCGCAAACAGCCGATCACCAACCATATGAATCACCGACATAATACTCTTTTTATCGACTTTCCTGCTGCCCAGATAATACTCCCGGATCTTCTGAGCCACTTCTTGGTGCTCAGACACTGGAACAGTAAAGTTGAACTCCAGAAGATAAGGAATGATCCTGTTCCAGTTACTGTCAAGCTCCTTCATCAGTTCTTCATCTCCAGCAAACTCTGCTCCGGGATAAAGTCCTTCTTCGCTAACCAAAGTTGTCATCCAAGGAAGATCAGCAACATCTCCGTTGATTATTATTTCTACCGGCGGACGGTTGATAAACGCTTTCGGGGATTTCCGCTCGATGACTGGCCCGAATGCCGTAAGTGGGTTGAAGAGCCAGGGCTGGAATTCCCCAACTGCTTGAGAAATCCCTTTGCCAGGCCGCGTTCTTAAGCACTCGACCATTGATGAAGTGTTCGTTGTAGGACAGCCCAAGATTGAGGCTAATTTTTTTGATTTCTCAAGAGAGTTTTCGGTTTGTGCCCAACAATCCAGCGCTGTGCCGCTGATTGATATTCCAGCTGTTTAAATGCTTGGTTAAGTTTAATTTATTAATTCTAAACTTAAAATTTTGGACTTAATAATGGTATTGTACACTAGCAGCAAGATCTAACTTAGCAGCAAGATCTAATACCTTAAAAAGATCAAAATCTGTGGAAATATGACTTAACGTTTCATAGAAAGAAGCCATGACGTTTTACAGAAATTAGGCTTAAGGTTTGTTGATATTCACATGCAACTTCAAGACTTGAAGGATAAAAATTTCGCTGCAAAATGGTCTAAAGCCTATGAAAGATTTCATATTTCATACAAATACGGCTTGAGGTTTTATGGAAACAAGCCTTAAGGTTGGAATTTAAATAAGATGAATGAAATTCTACATTAAGGTGGCCCTAATCTTTTAAAAATATTAAAATTTATAGAAATATAGCTTAAGGTTTCATAGGAATGCATTTTAATTGAACCAAATTTAATATTTTTCTAAAATTCCAACAGATGGCAATACTGACGTAAAAATGGCGTTCCTAAGTCAAAAAAGCGGAAATTTTGAAAAAAACATTATCAAAAAATAAATTTATATTTAATAAGTTATAAATATCAATAAAAAAGCGCTATTTTTTCGTTTAAGTAAAAAAAAATCTATAAAGAAAAGGAAGTTTTTTACCATGAAAAAGTCCTCGGCTCATTGGTGATAAATAGTGGTACTGTACACTAGCGCCACCTGCGCTCAATCCGACAAGAGTTATTCGATTGGGGTCGCCACCGAAAGCTTCTATGTGATTTTTCACCCATTTTATGGCCAAACTCTGATCCTTAAGACCCATGTTCCCAGGAACTACTTCGTCTTCAGTGCTCAAAAATCCTAATTATCATAAATCAGTATCAGTTGGCTTATTGGGTTCATAACTTCATAACTTACGGTAACGAATATCATAAAAACTTACCAAAAGGCCCAAGTCGATAATTAACACTAACAAAAACTACATCGCGATTCATGATGTAGCGAGACTCTGCTCGATTCCCGGTTCCAAACTGGAAAGATCCTCCATGCATGTAGAACAAAACAGGAAGCATTCTTGACATTGTCTTGTTCTCCGGCGTGTAGATGTTCAAATACAGACAGTCTTCAGTTCCCTCGACTCGGTCACCATTAACAGCCATTTTTTCGTGCAAATACGCCATGCAATTGCCTTCAATTCTTCCCGCGAACAAAGTTCCAGACCATGGACGAATTGGTTCCGGATCCCGGAACCTCAGCGCTCCTAGCGGCGGTTCCGCGTATGGAACTCCTTCAAAGGCTCGGTAAAAGTTTCCAAGGAACGTTTTCTTGTAATGACCTCTAATTTTTCCCAGAGAAGTTTCAACTATAAGATGTGCATCTTCTCCAAAACAGTTCCCGAGGAAACATAAGACGAAAATGAGTTCCAACATCGTTCCACGAAATTAAATGCGAAACTGAATGACTTTTGTTCAATTAAAATTAATTACATCTGGTAATTATCAATTATTTTAATTTTTATGCATTCAAATTGAGTATTAACTCTGATAAGTTATCTGTTATTTATACAATTTTGTAATTGACCTAAAAATAACAAAGTTGTACATATTATGTTCATCAGTTTTTTTTTATGTAATTAATTAATTAGCTTTATTAATAATTATAATTAATTTATTGCTATTACTTAATGCTACATGACATTGTTAACCTCTCGATGTCACAATTATTTTCTACAATAATTATTTATTTTATTTACAGAAGAATTCATTTTTTGTTGTGAAGATTTCAAATAAACATTATTTATTTATCCAAATGCGCGGAACAAGTCTTGCGCATGCGCCAAATTAGTTCCATGCATGCACAGCGCTAGTTCCAAATGTTCCAAAGCTTCTTTTATCATCAACATTTCTCTAGAAACATTATTATCATTTTATATGCGCGGAACAAGTCTTGCGCATGCGCCAAATTAGTTCCGCGCATGCGCAGCGCTAGTTCCAAATGTCCCAAAGCTTTTTTTATCATCAAAATGTCTTTAGGAACATTATTCAGATGTATAAGGCGCGCGCGCAATACTGGTTCCGAATGTTCCAACCTGGCCAAACTGTTTTTGAATGTTTTTTAAGTTCAAATTGTATATTATAAGCGATTTAAAACTTTTTAAACTAATAAAAAAGATAATTGAAAATTTAACGATCGCAATAAAGAATTATAAAAAAATGAAGAATTTAAATAATCAAAGAACTTGAGTAATTTGATGACTCACTTAATAACAATAATTAATGATTTATTATTTTATTTTTCCAATTTTGATGCATTAGGCTGCATTTAAATAAAAAAGATCCCGTGCTCTTAAATTTTTTATCCATCACGATCATAAAGAGCTGTAGCTTTTTATTCTGAAGCAAAGGTACAATTACGTCCACCCTTGATATAAACTTTTATTGCTCCTCATTCTGCGTGTCCGTGCCCCTTTGCCTCCTCTCCATCTTTTCCTTCTCACTCTTTCTCACACACAAACGGTTGTTTCAGTCATAATAATCCTTATTATCTCACCGAATTTAAATAATTATTATCTTAAAAAGTACCGGCAAAAAATCCTAAAACTGTACTCCGGTTCCGATACCGAGTTGTCCGTTAAAATATTCCGAGTTTAATTTAAACAAGTATGTTTTTGAAATAAACTAAATCGTAAAGATAACAAACTACTTCTACCGGAAACGAATAAAAAAAACGGCCAGTGACTTCATTATTATTATTATTATTATTATTATTATAAATTATAATAGGTAATACATTATTTGTTACTTTTTTTTCATTAATTAACGGTGAAGCTTACGCCTCATGTGAAAACAATTTTTTAATGTTAACTGCGATTTAGCTTTTAAGTTACCGGTTAAAAAAATAATTATTTATATACGTTTATTTCCTCGTGTATATATCAATTAGTATTTATATACAGTAATTACATTTTTAAATGATTAATACTTATCGTAAGGTATCGCGTTGTTGAAATGTTATTTATTGGTCAACAAAAAATTCATTCTGAGTCATTGCGGTAAATCAACTTTTTTTTTTTTTTTTTTTAATATCATCTTTATCTACGAAAAAAATCTATTATTATCATTCATAACTCTACAATTATTATTATTATTATTATTATTATTATTATTACTAATGCGTTTTACGCCACGCAAATTCTTTAGAGATGATCTAAGTCTTAATAATTGATCAATTGCGCTATATATTTTATGTTTCTTGGCAAGAAACTAAAAAATTAAGGTAACAAAAATTTTTTCATTTCTATGAAGCTTATATTCAATAATGTAACCTCAAATTCAATCTTTAAGGCTTATTTCTATGAAAAACGAAGATTTGTGAACAAAGTTTGAAATTCGGAGGTTAAAAACAAACAATGTAATCAAACTATAATGTTCCGTAAATATTTATTAATTTATTTTACAATATTATTAACTTTGGGTTGACACTGAAGTTAGCAGACGTCTAAAAATTTTTGATTTTTTTTTTTAAATTAAATTATAACTAAAAAAATATTTCTAAAAAATTGCACTTGTAGTTTTTTAAGTTTTTTACAGGTGAAATTTTTTTTTTAATTGTTTAATTGAAATTTCTTCAATAAAATATTTCTAAAAATTTTGAAATGTCAGCTAACTTGATTTTCATACTTTGGGAAACAAAATTATTAATTTTGAGGTTAAAAAGGAACAATGTGATATAATAGCAGAAATTTATAAGTATTTACAAATTTTTTTATCCACTAATAAAAAATTTAGCATCAATTGAAGAAAAACAAGAATTTGAATAAAAAATTCTAACTATAAATAAACTTGTAAACAAGGCAAAAGCTACCAAAAAAAAAATTCCACCGCAAACAAACCAATAAAATGTAAATACATACTAATTACCAAAATCATAAACAAGTTAAACAAATCTGTTTTATAAAAAAAAAATTAAAATCGACGTTAATTACCCATTTACATGAAAAGCGTATATTTATCTATTCAATCATAGCGGGACTACCAGTCGTAAAACAAAAATTTAACGACTCTCTACGAATAAAAGTTTAACGACTCAATAACAACAAGAATAACAATCACTAAATCTGTGATTAGATAAAAAAAAAAAAGACGCCACTCGGCCATACCCGAAATGGAAGGTAGATTTCACAGAATGAATTATCGTCTTGTCTCAATAACTTTTGTTTAACATGGATAGGTTGTATTACACATTGCCTGAAAATGGTTCAATTGAACTCTTAACTTCGATAAAGTAACTAATAATGGTCAAAAAGTTAACATTATATACGTCAAATAAGAAGTGTTTTTATGAGTTTTCGAGTAAATTTATTAAAAATGAGCTATCTTTTTGCTATTAAAAGTTATACATAAATGAAGTCACCGAAAACGTAATTTCTCCTATTTTGATCATTTTGAAGAGCTACTATTTCTGAACTAATCGAAGGATTTCGCTCATTTTAAGGTTTATGCAAGCTAATTGTCAAATGAATTTGTATACTAAATTTCATTGGGATCTGTTACGAATTCTCGACAGAATAACATTCATAAGTCGCCTGCACTACACATTGCCTGAAAATAGTTCAGTCAAACTCTTAACCTTGATAAAATAACTAAAAATGGATAAAATGTCAATGTTATGTACGTCAAATTAAAAGCAATTTCAAGAGCTTTTACATGAATTCATCAAAAATTAGCCATTTCTTTTCAACCAAAAGTTATACATTAATGAAGTCATCGAAAACGTGATTTTCACTATTTTGATAATTTTGAAGAGCTGCCATTTTTAAACTTATCGATGGATTTCGCTCATCTTCGAACTCATTCAAGGTTATTATCCAAAGAATATGTGTAACAAATTTCATCTAGATCCGACAAGAATCGTAGACACAATCGCGGCAACATCCCGCGTTATATTACATATGTATATAAATATATATATATATATATATACATACATATATAAATTTTTTAACTAACGTTATTTTTGAGCTTCACTCGACTAGTTAAGTGGATATTACGACAAAATTCCGAGTGAATTCCGACATGAGGACCAATGCAATAGATTGATTTCTATGAAATCTACCTAAAAAACCAAATTTAATAATTACCTAATATCCCTAAAATAACGAAAAAAAAAAAAAAAAAAAAAATAATTCGGTAGCGGTATGCAATTCAGCAGGGTAGCCGTCCGAGGTTATCAAGGCGTAAATTAGCATTCTCCGTATGCTGTTAACCGAGGTATTTCGATAAGTTGAAGACGTGTCTCAAGGCGTGCTCAGTAAGTGAATTTGCGCTTAGCTCGTCACTCGTCGGCCGAACTCAATGCCCGAGATGTGGAGAGAAAGAAAAATCAACCAGTAGCAGGCAATTCTCCCAGCGTCTGAAAAAAGGTAAGTAAAAAAAGTAAAAACTTAAATAAAATACTTTCCAGCTTTTCACGTTCCTTCTTCTTCTTCTTCTTCTTCTTCTTATCCATTCTTGCCTTTTCTCCACCTTCACATCTACCCGGACTGACAACACGGAAATGGTCTTGGGTGCGTGACCAGAAAAATAATATTATATTCTCATTCTCAGATTAGAATAACGTTTTAAATAGCTTTCATTAGCTTCCTTTTTCTCTTTCTTCTTCTCAATCTTCCCAATCCACAAAACTAATTTGCTAAAATAGCAATCACAACATCAACTACCAACGACAACAACTTAAATCCATTATCTTGTTATGATAATGATATTTTACTAACTAATCTAACGGCTAGCAGAGGTCGCTAGTCTTTACGTCCATTAATGTCATTAACGTTACTAGTTATTAGTTATTACGTTATGTGTTACATGGGAAGCTATAGATTGGATATCTTCTGACCCTTTTTTACCAGACAACCATCTCGTGGATTTGCATGATGGATGCCAGTGGGCCGTGGGTGAGATGACCGCCGGTATGCTCAGCTCAGCACAATCACCAGCTTCACTTAGACTAAGACTCTGGTGTAAATCTTGCTATTGGTACGCTCCCATAGTCTTCAATAATCTCCTCTGGATGTGGCCAATGTCTGCAGACACTTGTGTGCAAACCGCCTGGCCTTTGCTCAACACTAACCGGCCGCTGACCCACATCTCCAACATAATGTCAAACTGTCAACGACCCTCACTATTATCAGCTACTAGGTTATTGTGTCATTATTTTTCACCCGGCCTTTGTCTTCTCAGGCTATTCAGATGACCGTTTTGTCAGCGATTTTATAGATTTTAGTTACTAGATTGAACAATAGCCGGTTGTTACTAGAGCAAGCGTTTGCGATGTTATTTATGAGTGAGAGTTTTCGTTTTTAGGTTGGAAGCGAATATTTCAAATATATTCACTATAAGGAAGTTGGAAAATATTTTTTTTATTAAATTTTACACTATTCTGGTGATAATGTAACCTTGAATTTAATTTTTAGGGCTCATTTTTATGAAAAACTTCTGATGAGAAACAAAAATATTTATTTACATGTTAAAAACTAATAATGGTGTAAAAATGCTATTTTTTATGAAGATTTATAATTGTTTTAAGTTAAATTTTTTATAAACAATGTTTATTTAAATATAAAACTCTTTAAATTCACAAAAAATCTCATTTTTTTACTTCCGTACATTACAATTTAATAATAGAACCTTAAATTTCTATTTTTAAGGCTTATTTCTATGAAAAACTTCTAATGGGAAACAAAATTTTTGAGTTAGAAGTTAAAAACAAACAATGTTGTTAAAATGCTATTTTTACTTGAAGATTTATAATTGTTTTAAGCAATATTCATTATAAAAATGTTTCTTTAAGTATAAAACTCTTAAATTTCACGAAAAATTTCATTTTTTAATTGTTTATAATATAAAAATTTAATATTATATAACCTTAGACTTCATTTTTAAGGCTTATTTCTATGAAAAACTTCTGATGGCAAACAAAATTATCAGTTTGAAAGTTAACAACAGACAATCATGCAAAATTACATTTATTATAAAGATTTATAATTATTTCAAGCAACATTTATCATAATAATGCTTATTTAAGTACAAAACTCTTCAATTTCACCAAAAATTTCATTTTTTGAAGATTTACAATTTTAAAATTTGATAATATAACCTTAGACTTGATTTTTAAGGCTTATTCCTATGAAAAACTTCTGAGGAAAAACAAAATTATTAATTTACAGGTTAAAAGCAAACAATGTTGTAAAAATGACAATTTTCATAGAAAAGAAGATTTATAATTATTTTAAGCAAAATTTAATAAAAAAAATGTTTATCTAAGTACAAAAAATCTCATTTTTCACTCCCTTACATTACAACTTGATAATATATCCCTAAATTTCAATTTTTAGGGCAGTTTCTATGATAATAGAACCTTGTGATTGGTTCTTAAAATCAAAGAGTTCCGAAGACTTCCGAAAAAGAACAAAATTAATAATTTGGAGGTTAAGTAGAAACAATGTGACAAAATCATGCTAATTTATAAGTATTATATATTTTTTTTTTGTAGAAAATGTTTAAATATTTAGCAAATTAAGTACTTTTATAGAAATTTCAGACTTTTTCTCAAACAATGTCCGTCCAAATGGACATAAAGATGTGTATCACAAGTTTTTCTAACAATAAGAGACATGAATAGCGCCAAAATTTCTCACGCCTGGAAAAAAAAAAGAAAACTGGCCTCCAACGTCGCTCTAGAAGACGTGTTAAAAAAACGTAGATAATAGAACTGGCGCCCTGGCAGTTAGCCAGCCGTTTCTCCAACCGATCAACGACCTGTGATCTTGAACTTAGACTTGGTTTGGCGTTCCGCCCGACTTCTGAGAACCAGATATTTTTTAGTTTTATTCCGATTCGAAATGAATAAGCCATTTTGTGTCGCGGTTAATTGTTACTAAGAACAAGTCGGTGCTTCTGACGGGATTCCTAGTGAATAATCAATAATAAATAAAAAAAAACACCCGATGTATAATTACAATAATAATTAGCATGGATCGAAACTAACTCTAGCATTGGGGATTATTAGAATAATGCAGTGTAATAAATAAAATAGCTCAGAGTTACGTATGTAAAGGATAAAAAGCAGCATACGTGCGAGCAGGCGTTGTGAGGAAGGCTGGCTAACGGTTAACCGTGTTTCATAAAAAAACTCATGGCTTCTCCAAGAAGGGCCTCTACATCAGCATCTTTTACTTCTTCTTCTTCTTCTTCTTCTTCATCTACTCCTTCACTTCTCACTTCTCGACCCCAACTATCCTACAGCGTACATGTATCTGTATACATCCTGTGTGTGTGGACTCCTCCACACACTCGTGGAGTATTATACGGGTCCCCTTCCTCCCATGTGAGAATGTACCCCATACATTTTAGTCGGGTCTAGTGTTGTGTGTTTTCTTCTCCTACAACAGACCAACAGACGTTGTAATGCCTGATGCCTGAGATGTAACGGGGTCGCAAGTGTCAACGGGCTTTGCCACGCGATCACCGCCTCGCAGTAGATGCACTTAGACATTTATCAACCTTTTTTGCTTGCCCGCTTAATTAAAATTTACTTTTATCTTTGTTTAGTTTCATATTTATCGCCGTTTATTTCTCTTATTTTCTTTTAAGTACTCATTTTTCCTTATATAACCTTCAATTTCAGTTTTAGGGGGCGTTTTTATGAAAATCGAAGACGACCGAAGGCTTCCGATGGAAAATGAAATTTTTTTTGGAGGTTAATTTGGAACAAAGTTATTAAATAGCAGTTTTTTGTAAGTATTTATTAATATCTTCTTAGAGATTGAATAATTAATATTAATTTTGCATATATTAAAAAAAAAAAAACTACCTCTAAAAAGATGTTTAAAAAAATAACGAAGACTTCCGAAGTCTTCCGATGAGAAACAAAATTTTTTTTTTGAGGTTAAGATGAAACAAAGTGATTATACAGCAGTTTTGGTAGGTATTTTTTAGTTTTTTTTTTTTTTTTTTTTTTACAATATTAAAACAAGTAAAAATTTATTAAATGTCTAAAAAAAAATTTTTATTGAAAAAATAAGCATACTTGCGATGAAAAACAAAATTTTTTGAGGTTAAGAAGGAACAAAGTGATAAAATAGAGATTTATTGTGAATTTTTATTGATGGTTTCTTGCAATATTAAAAAATTAATAAAAATTTAGGATATATCTAAAAAAAACTAGCTTTAAAAAAATAACGAAGTCTTTTGATAGGGAACAAAGATTGTTTTTTTTGAGGTTAAGATGAAACAAAGTGATTAAATAACAGTTCTTTGTCGGTATTTATTAGTCTTTTTTTATAATATTGAAAAATTAATAAAAATTTAGTATTTATGTAAAGAAAATTAGTTTTAAAAAAATTTTTTAATAAAAAAAGAAACTAACAAGTAGAATTAAATTTGTAAACAAGCATAGATGGCGATCTAAAAAGGAATGTACACCCTTTTATATTTATTGGACTTGAAATGTAACTGTAAATCTATATTGTGTGATAAATGTTGAGAGATACTGTGCCAGATTAAGAGTCTCGACTTACTTGCAAATGACATTTTGAAAAAAATCATTTATAACATTAAGAAGTCAATATATTTATTAATAATTCATGACAAACAATAATAATACACAATTGATTTTTATAATTTATTTATTTATTTATACTTTTGTTCATTACCATGAGCACATATTGAAATTTTGATAAAAATAAAACTAACCTAAACGTATCCAAAGGTTACAATATTTTTTTGGTGACGCACTAAACAATAATATATAACCTCTAACTGTGCTCACTAGAGAGTTACGGCAGCGCCGGAATGTTCAACAAAATTAAATTGTCTATCAAAACAATAAACTAATTCATTATCACCGACTCAAACAATCTCTACTAAATATATTTAGTATTTATATATATATTTATAATTGTAAAATGCATGACATTTTGATTGGCCCTTCTTAACAAATCTAAGAAAAAAGGTTGGTCATTAATTGTTACATTTTTATATTTTAATATTAAATCTAATGTGTATATTCTATCGATCAGTGCATCTAGGACGTAAGAAAAATACTAAACATATATATATATATATATATATATATATATTTATATATTTGTGTTAACATATACATATATGTATATACTCGCTATATTTGCATTACTTCTAATACAATTGTCAAAAAATTCAATTCATAGGTTATGCCATCTCAAATCTCCGAGAGAAGTCAGAGAGCTTGGAAAAAAAATTCCAAAATTTAAAAGTATATTACAAATTGATTACGTAGTGAGTTAATAGTGAAAAACAAATTATCGACGATAATTAAGTCTTCGAGAATGCTAAGTACAGAGAAAAATAGATTTAGCGTACAGCATAAACAAATATATAAATATGTCTATCAATAACGGCTAATATTTATCATAATTCATTAATTATTTATTTATTTATTTATTTATAGGTTAGTTAACCGAGCCCAGCCCAGAGCATGAAGTCAGGGACTTCCCGAACTGGAACATCTCGAGCTAGCGCCTTCACCCTCAGGTTCCTGTCTTCGGTAAGTAGAACTACTTCTCTTCGTAGGCGTCTTGGTTGTCCTTCATCTAAATTAATTATTAAATTACATATATTTCATCTTAATTTTATATAAAAACATAAAAGCTGGTCAAAAAAATTACAAATTGGTAACTTTGATCCCTACTTTACCCAGAAGTGGCACTTAGCGCCACTGGTGGCGAAATTAGGAACTAAAAATTAGTCCAATTTGACTTATCATATTAAAAATTACTTAATCTTACATTTATTTCATCTAAATAGTATATTAAGAGTAAAACCTGATCAAAAAATCATAAAATGGAAACGTTGAGCCCTGCTTGACTTAGAATTGACACTTAGCGCCACTGGTGGCGAAATTAAAAACTAAAAATTAGTCCAATTTGACTAATCATATAATTAATTAATTAACTTTAAATAAATTTAATTTAAATTGTATATTAAGAATACAATCCAGTAGAAAAATTCATAAATTGGCAGCATTAGAGCTTACTTTGCTTAGAAGTGACACGCAGCGCCACTAGCGGTGAAATTAGAAACTAAAAATTTGTACTGGCGGTAAAAATAGCAAAATTAACCAATTAGAATCTAAATTTAGCAACTTACCGATAGAAACTTGATCCTTAGAGCGGCAAAGGCTGAGACAAGTAGCAAGAATCTTGTCATCGTTGCTAGCAAGCTCATTAAGCCTTACATCATCTTCAGCAGTGAAGATACTAGAAGTAAGAATAGTCCCTCTGGTGGTAAGACACCTGATAGCCGGATTCTTGCTCCTGGCGAAGGCCAAAGCCGCTTTTGCAGAATCCGCCACCCTGGCGACGTGTTCCGGGTCCAGCGAAGCTCTGGAACTCGGAGGACAGTCCCTAGAGTCGGCTCCGCGCGCCAGTCCTTCTAGCTCGCTCAAAACTGCGGGTCAGAAAAGTAACGGGGAAAATATTGAAAACTATTGCCTAGATATTGAACTTAGCGTTATAGAGGACACGAGGTCAAAACCCTATTCTCCTTTAGCGCCCTCTTTAATCTTCGGCGAGGCATCGCCCACGCCCGTTCTGTGGTCAGGGGTCTGCCGGCCAATAGGCTCGAGCCTCATGCCCACACATGCATTCATGTATGAGCCGTGAGAACCTAACTGTGAAACTCACCGTTGCTGCTGCAGCCCTCTTTCCCTCTGATCATTCTTCGGTGGTTCACTTGCATACATATATATATTCCACACTCACACATCTACGTCATATATTAAATATATTGAATCCCGTGCCGTCGTTTGCATTCGTTTAGCCCGCTAAACCATCAACTTCAGCCAGACAGAGGAGCCACCGGTCAAAGGGCAAACAGAACCCGCTTATGCCTCCACCTTACTTTCGTTTTTCAAAGAACAAAGCTAAATATTTATGTGCGTTAATATCTCCGAAATATCTAACAAAAACAACTTTTTTTTTTTTTCCTTTTCACTATAAATTTTTATTTATGGGCCTTTTTATCAGAAAATTATTGGGCTGTTAAAACTTTATACTCGCCCTCTATTTTACGGCTTTGAAATATCGCCATATTGTCTTTCAAAGTTCAATTATGCAATAACTAATTGAATAATTAAAATGGCTACTAAATTTCTGCGAACAAAAGACAAGCAAAATTACAATCTTTTGTTCCCGAAGAATCCGCTAGGAACAAAAGCCGCCATCTTGTTAGCCTAAATCATTGCACATTCTTCGAATTCATTAGACCCGCCATTAATGAAATTTTATCTTAAAATGCCACTCAAGTCCCGGAAATTGGCAAATTACATAAAAATATCTAATTACCGTGAGTAAATAACTTATTTGCACTTGTAAGCCACAATTAACCTCTAATATTTTCCGAATTTTTCATCACTCGCAATCCCATTAAGAGGATTAATATTTAATGCGGAAACAGTTCACCAGATGGCGCCCAACGTTAAAGTTCAATATTTTAGCAGATATTGCTGTTAATATTTAACCGGGTATCTAGGGAAGGAAACAGTTTATCATTGTCCGCTTTAAATTTAGGGCTTGCAAGTCTAGACACACACACACACACACACACACACACACACACATACATACATACACGTATTCGTTGGAGTGAATTGCGAGATTAGATGATGGTGGAATGAATTATGAAATGCAAGTTATCAAGTGTAATATGTCATAACAAAACGGTCACGATTTTTGACGAGCGACCTTTCCGAAAGGTCGAATTAGCGTGTTAATATAAACAAAATGGTGAATTTGTTGACGTCCATGTCACTGTAATTTTAAACGGTGATACGACGGATCATAATAAAATAATAATGTGTTATTATTCGATGAAATCTTTTCCGGGTCTTTAGCTGACTATTTATTACCGATACGCTGGAAATTGCGTCATATAATATGTAAATCCAGTGAATTGTTCCGATCGTGATAGTTCTTAAAGACTAAAATCAAATGATGTGGAATGGAAATTTAATAACAACGTCTGGCGTAATGGTTTGGACAATTGTGAATTCGGTATGAGATTGGATTTCTGTTTGCGAAAATGAGGACCCTGGAAAATAGATTAAAGCTCGTCTTGTTGACGATAGGGTGCTTAAGAGTGGTATATTTGCACGTACCCGGAAAGCGGTACGGTGGATCGATTATCGGCATAACAACAATGATAACAATGACATGAGCAATAAAAAAATTAACAAAGGGAGCGATTTACGCGCCAGATGCTACCACACGATCTCTTTTATCGGTAACCTTTTTTTTGTTAAAGTAGTAAACGAGTAAAAAGCCCGGAGTGAGACGAAGAGAACAGAGACAGTGATACTCTGAGGGAACAAAACGAGGTGCATTATTTCAACCGCGACAAAATAAACTGCTGGTGAATACGGAGGAATTCAAGCTTACAACATACCGAAATACATACGGACAAATAAGAAATTTGGAATTACAATCACGAACGGATTCGACAAAATAATTGTAATTCCGCGGTCATTTTTTAATCTTTATCCTCATACTTGACTTATACTTATACTTATACTTATTGTTAAACTTTTAACATAACTGAGAGTATTTAGTTATAAGCTACATGAGTTACACCTTAAAATTCATTTGATAACAATAATAAATAAACGTGGACGAATTTTTTTATCATTTTAACGCCTCCCACTCGTAAATATCGACTCCAGATGGCCGATTCGCTCCCCCGGGATATAATCGGACTTTTGAGGTATTGCAAGGCTCCTCCTATTCTTAGTAAATGTTAGCTACAAGTCCCTTTCAATACATATTTGCTCTAGGGAGGCTTTTTCATGCTCAACGCACGGAAAATCATTGCTTTTGCAATTAAAATTCAAACATAAAATTATTATTTTTGATTCAAACTTACCAACAAGAGGAATCATCAAAGTGAACAGCGGCTGGATTCCAGAAGTAGTCTTTGCGATGCGCTGCAATTGTGGTAAGTAGTCAATGAAGCAATTAGTATCAGGCACCAATTGTCGAGGCCTGACTTCGATTTCTACTGAGACTGATGATTTTTGCAGGATCTCCTGAAACAGAAGACAAAGGATACGTGAAAAAGCAGGTAAGGAAAGATGGATTATTGAGATATAGATATAATTATTTAGGGATTATCTTAATGGGTTTGTGTTAAGCCCGTTCATTAATCGATAGCAAGTACGGTTCGCCGTGGTCCTACATAAATCAAGCTTATCCAACCAACCGACTCCAAGTAAGTACATATATATGCGACCAACAGTTGAATCTATTCTCCCCTCCTCATGCTACATCTGCTAATCCATAATTGTTATTATTTTAATAGAGAAAAACAAAGTATTTTTCCAATATTTCTTATGTTAAGAAAAATTATTGGGATTGCTCTATTAATAGTAGGTATTTTAATTTAGGTATATTATCACAATACTCTAATTTACTATAGCCAAAATATCGAATGCTTAGCTTATTCAAATGATTATAACCTCACTTTACTGACATTGTTTTATTTTTTAATAATTATTTAAATTATAAATGTAATAATAAATGTTCATTTTAAAGCTGTATCTAGAATTATAATTACTTATATTTCCACAAACCTATGTGATAACTTAATGAAAGTATGAGGCCGTGTACTTGCTTATTTTCCAGCAAATGATGTGAAATTTATTGTAAATAATTCTCCGAAAATTTTTTAATATGTATATATATATATATATATATATGGAATAATTTGTATTGAGGATTGAATCCTGTTAAACGCAATAAAGATTTATTATATAATTACTTATAATAATTGTTTTAATTTATTTTCAGACTGTATTATGAATAGACTGGACATAAATATAAATAACACAAGATAAGCGGAAAAACTCGGAATTTACTATAGTATAAAAATGGCGACGAGACTGACAACAAGACACGTACTATAGTATTATTGGTTAGAGTATAGATCTCAACCCGAGTCGAAAAAATGAACTTAGATAAGCTTAAATCAATCTTTTTAGTATATAACAGTATTATTAAATTATATTAATATAGTATTACTGATAATGCTCTGATTATACTGGTATTTTGATAATCACATATTTTTACCATAAGAAAACTCCCTTTATGAATCTTGATCCTTTTTTTCAGTGTGGCAAAAAAATAATTGTGATTAATCATCGTCGACAGGATGGTGCGAACCCCCGGGGCTTAGGGTATACAAAATCCCGTGATAATTCAGAGCTTTTTGTGGTTTAGCATCCCCGAACAAATTATTCAGCGCTTGGACGCGGGACTGTAGAAGAAAGAGGAATAAAAAGGTAAAAAGCAGTAACTGGAAATAATGGTCAATAAAATGAGTGTTAATGTAACTTGGATAATATATTAACCGATAATGGTATTCATAAGCGCAACAGTTGCATTACAAGGATGCTCACGTGTAAAGTTGCTCTCTTAAATCAGACAAGCAAGTCTTTGTATGTTGTGTGTGTGTGTGTGTGTGTGTGTGTGTGTGTGTGTGTGTGTGTGTGTGTGTGTGTCTCTAGACGTAAGATCGTCTCTAGTCAGGCATAAAGTACACCCACGTGTTTAGTGGTACGGGAAAGGAATCGCCCGATGACAGGTTTGAGCACCTGGACTATATCAGGGTCTCACTTGCTCTCACCATAGATATTTCAGGTATTTTCATTACCAAAGGCATTAATTTAACCTCTATGGACATCTAATCGGTAAACATAATATAACGGCAAGGTTAAGTATATTTATATTTATATTTATACACATATAATAATAATAATAATAATAATAATAATAATAATAAATATACTTAGTAAAATAGCAATCTGTTAATAAACATTATCTCGGGATTACTAATGAGAGATCTCACCCGGAAGGTAAATACACTGGATTTAAGATCTAATTCTCATCATACAACAGCATACCAATACCGACACTAATACCAACTTGGATATATTTGTTGTACGTTGTTGGTTGTTGTTGTTGTTGTTAATATAACAAGAATCTTGGCTTACAATTCACTGGACAAGAGTTTACGAGGAAGGTGTGTCGAATGGGAGTCAAGTAACATATCTAAGATAGAAATTGATATCACGATTTATTAGCGATAAACCCTACCGGGTACTTTGCTTTTTACTTTATTATTTATATATTTATTACGGGACGCCGGCGTTCATTTCATTAAATATAATAACCTGTAATTATATATTAATAACAACTTAACCCACAGATTTATTTTGTTTCATTTTAAGTTTCAGTTTCGTTTGCTAACTATTTATTTGTTCTGGCACGGTAAGCCTCCTTGTTTGCTGAAAAGGACCTACCAGCCAGGGAAATTTGGCAACCACGCTCTCCGGAGGGAGAGATAAAAGGAATAGGGTGCCAAAGGAACACTGTTATCGTGGCCCTGCAGACTGGGGTGAATTCCCACAGGAAAAGACGTCTCAATCAAACTTTAACAGATAAATTCGGCTCTGGGTTATCCAGCCTTTAATTATGTAGAAATTGTTTGTTTTTAGTAATTGCTTTTTTTTTTTTTTTTTTTTCATTATAGTGTCGCAGGTTTTTATTGGTTAACTTTTGACGACATTTTTTTTTTGCGCATGCGCAAATGCTCCAACAATAGTAAATAATTTTTTTGTATAATATTAATTATTCTTAATTACATACTCTGTGACTGTGTATAAATCTATGTAACATTTATGGCCTCTATATAACCTCCAAGGCCATTTAGTCTAACAAAATTCCTTGTTTCAGATCACCAGCAACAATTAATACCAAAGTTAGAAGCAAGAATTTATGATTTGAGCTGAAGTCTAAAAGAAGTGAATCTTTAAATTTTATTCACGTACCGATTCCAGTTTCACGGGCAATGTCCGGCAATCTTCATTTTTGCGATGTGAAGAAAGAATGTGAAGAAATATATATATATATATATAAAACGAAAATCTCTTTTTAATGCTAAAAAAATCAGTTGCACTTGCAACCGAAATTTAAGGTTATACAATGGTTACTTTATAAATTCTAGACGCGTGACTCGGAAATTAAAATAAACGTTTGCGAAAAATGAATTTGCGGACAATCGCTACATATAGATGGTTAGATATAAATATATATAAAAGTACACATTGAATCTGAAATCAATAACGAGGTGTCCGTAAGACATTAATAATTCAGCGTGGTAAATATAACCTACATGGAAATTATTCATGAAATCTCGCCTATTTTGTAGATTCGGCCTCGGAATTAATTCTGTATCAGTATACTAAAGTATAGAGGGAGTTTTCTCCTGGTAAAAATATGTATTGTGATTATCAAAAGCCCAGTATAGTTTTAGATCTATACCCTAACCAGTAATACTATAGTAATATAATATAATAATACTGCTATACTAAAACAATTGATTTAAGCTCCTCTAAGTTCATTTTTTCGACTCGGGCTGAGATCTATACTCTAACCAATAATACTATAGTACGTGTGTTGTGGTCAGTCCCGTCGCCATTTTTATACTATAGTAAATTCCGAGTTTTCCCACGTATCTTGTGTTATTTATATTTATGTCCAGTCTATTTATAGTATATAGTCTAAAAATAAATTAAAACAATTATTAGAAGTAATTATAATTCTAGATACCGCTTTAAAATGAACATTTATTATTACACTTATAATTTAAATAATTATTCATTTGAATGGTTATTAAAAAATAAAATAATGTCAGTAAAGTGAGGTTATAACCATTTGATTAAGCATTCGGTATTTTGACTATAGTAAATTTAAGTATTGTGATAGTATACACCTAGTTACAATCAGTATACGTAAAATGCTCACCAAAATGCCTACTATTAGTGGAGTAATCTCGATAATTTTTCTCAAAAGAAATATTGGAAAAATACCTTTTTTTTAAGCCTATCCTCTATTATTAAAGAGTTTAATAGTTATAATTCATAAATAAAGTAACAAGATAATACAAATAGACGGAATTGAAATTTATTTAAAGAGTAACGTCAGACGGGTAAAAGAAGTTGAGAGTAAACTACGACGAGCCCAGTCACCGAGAAATTAACGAGAGACTCTGGAGTATATACTATATATATATATATATATATATATAAATAGCGGCGAAGCGCCACTACACTAACAGAGTATAATTAGTTTAGAGTAATTAGTCTCGCGCGGTTTCTCTCGTTCTCGTCGCTTACTAACCTCCCCTTTACTTCTACATTACAGCAACCCAACCTCACTCTCTTTATTCTTATTCTTTATCATCTTCTTCTTGGTTTAGTCTTCTCGACTTATTTCAGCTATTATCATTATCATTATTTTTCACGGCCTTGAAATAATCCTGAGATACAAATTAAAGACGAGCGTAGCAAGTGAACTGAGTTAGTAAACTTTTATTTTCCGAGTGTAACCTCTTTTCATAACATACAAACCGGAAGGACGTGTAATTGCACCTTTTGCAAATTACATTCTCAGTATTTAAAATAAATATTATTTATGCTGATTCCGGTTATTTTTATTCTCTTTTTTCGTATAAAACTCCGTCCTTAGATTGGGTACCAAGCGGCTCGATAAATCTCGCTGGAACCCAAACTGTATTATTTATTTTAGGAGATACTATTGTGATGCTGATGCATCGCTTTAAACCTCTTTGATCCTCTTTCGGGTCACCAAAAAGTCACATATCTTTTAAGATACTGCTCATTAGTCACGTCTGATAAAAATTTTTCGGGTTTATTAACATATAACAGAAACATTAAGAGCTTTCATGTGTGCGAATGATAAAAATTTTACCCTTTAAGTCAGATAAAGGAACAATTATTAATTTTAAGTACTTACTCTTTTAAAAAATCTGAAAAAAATATAACTAAAATTGGATTTTAGTGTCATTAATATTAATTATTTTCTCGAATTTGAATTCACAAATTATTCTGCCTATTAACAAGTACTTAACATTCTTAATTACACTAAACAACGTTATTAAAAATCCAGTTTACATAATCGTCGACTATTTCCATAAAACTCCGAAATCAACCTAGATGCATGCATAATTCTCAATAAAACTCTAATCATCCTGGAAACAAAATCACAAACAAGTCAGACAAGTTTCTTAGAGTTGATTGACTGACAACAAAAATCCGTATTATTTTAGTAGAGCATCTGATAAGCGAAAAAATTCATCGAGTAATGCCGGATTATATGGGAATTAGGGGAAAAAAAACTTCCGTTAACAAAAACAGTTCAATTAACTGGATTACGTGAAAAAAGTGAGGTTGTTACCTTAAATCTTTGAATTAAACTGGAAAAAAATCGAGTAAGAACTAGAAATCACGCCACCTACAACTAAGTCGTAAACATTGCTTTATAAATTACTATTTATTTATTTATAGATTTTTTTTATCAATCGTTGATTTACGTTAGATTTAATTGTTAGTTTTTTAAAACAAATCTTTTGATATTTCTGATCGAATGAGAATATTGATAACCTCAAAACTTTCAATTCAAAATTGATAGTTTTTTCAAAGCCGCCATGTTTTATTGGATCTGTTGTGGAACTAACCAGTTACTTGACAGAAACTCGATATTATACTGGCCAGTTTCTGGTTAAAGTCTAGTTGAACTGGCTAGTTACTGGCCAAAAACTCGATTTCATTTCTACTAGGGACACTTGACGAATTTAAAGAAAAATGTACTTTATATCTATTAAATCAGGAGTTTAATTTTAGACTTGATGCACAGATGTGATATGTTGATATGTTAATATATAATAACTAATAACATTGTTCAAAATTTGTATTAAAGAAATATGATCCCAAGAAGTTCGACTCCAGGATCGAAGCAAATAAATAAATCACAATTTTATAACAGGATAATTGTAAAACAAAGTGACGAACCTGAACACGTTGACGATGACGCTCTTGCTTTCGCTGACGTCTTTCCAATTCTTCTTTCCGCTCAATCAGCAGTCGTATCTCGGATTCCGCAAGCGAATCGTTGGATAATCGCTTCAATAGAGATGTCGGCTCTTCCTCTCCCTCACTGTAGCTGTCCACCAGCAATTCCGAATCACTCTTTAAAAATAGTTGTGATAAATAGTATCTAATGAATTCGATTATTCGACTATTGATCAAGACGAAGATGATCATGATGATGATCATCCTTGAAAAGCTATAAATAGTTTCCGGATAAAGGAGGATTTGTTACCTGCTCGGGAGGGGAATTCGGAGAACTTGTACTGGACGTCTCGACCAAAGAAACGTATTCGCTTACGCCGAATTCGTTTTTTTGTAGCTTCAGCACCGGTGTCTCAAGACCGCAAAGGAAAACTTGTCCGAAAAACAATATTTTTTGTATGCGTAAGCACACCTGGGCCACCTCCATATCCTCAGTCTTTTCGGCGTAAAATGAATCCTGGGGATTTGACATCAGAGGCGTGAAACCAGACAACGTTGCGTCCTCAGGTAGTTTTACCAAATTAAGTTCTAAAAAACGTTTTATTAATTTATGATGTTGATTTAAGTGATTCATGATTCACAATTTACAAATCAAATATTTGTTTAACTAGAACAATGAGCAACTTCATGGCCGAATAAAATTACAATTGCGGATTATGTCATCCAAAACTTTTGTTAATAATTTTTTCATAAAACCGGTTTATGAATTTATTTATTAAGATCGAATAGTAAGAAATTTTATTGATACTGACGAAAATGTCGTAGGTAAATTAAATTTTAGTATAAATCTGAAATTAGTAATAAAGTTGGTCGGCCCCTCGGCTGGATTAATGGAATTTACGGTCCAAGTGGCAATTACCAGGATGTACTCTATGACTAATAGAGGTGCCCCTATCGAGAATGATGACTAATCGTGTTATCTGTCGGTTAACGAGTAAAAAGAGAGAGGATACTCACCGTTCTCCCGTCCAATGGCTTCACGTGCGTGAATAACTATTTTTCGCGGATAGGCCAGCTTTTCTAGGAGATTAACCATCGTCGCCAGTCGGCTCCAAGCGTCTCCTACCGGACTGGAATAAAAATATTATCAAGAATAAAGAATCAACCGAGCCGGAGATAAATATTTAAACAGCCGTTAATTATTTAGAACAGTGAAAAGGTCATTTGGAATAAGACAGTTGAGAATCTTGAGTAGATGATAGACCTAAGGCTCCGCTCGGTGAGTCCGATTCGTCTCGGCGGCTGTCGTCCTTGCCAAGGCGACGCTTGACTCACGTACACGTAATTGTTAATCGTTAACGAGAAACAATAATTAACTTATCCAGCCGGATAGTAATGGTTGCGCAAACCCGTAAGATTTTTCTCCGTCTCAGTTACACTCATTTAACGAATGCTAAATCTTAAATCTAACTCTCTTGCTTTTAGTGTCCCTCCTTTTCTAGGTCTACACCGGTCTCGGTCTTGCATCGGGAGTCGAGGGCCTTGGGACTCGTTTAATGGCCGATAGATTGCATCGCTCGGATGATCGCGTCTGCAGAAGCACAGCGCGGCAGCTCTGCCCTCTTCAAGTTCATCTTTTTATCCCTTTTTTCCCTTTTTTTTTTTTTTTTTTGGTTTGCTTCTCTATATCGACTTACCGGGGATCAGACTACTCCATTCGTCTCAGTCGAATTGAATCTCCGAGTTATTTTCTATAAGATTCATCTTTATTTTATTTCATTTTCGTTTATTTATTTTAACAAAATACTTTTATCTCACTTCCAAGCCCAAGTGATTTTATTTTAAGTAGATAAAAAAAATAAATACTCTCAAAGGTATATAATATATAAATATAACCTGTAAATTGTAAATCCGAGAGGATGTGGATCATCCATAGCGGCAACCGTGACCTACGATTCAACGCATTAATTTAAATCACGTTCAACTGTGCCTACTCTATCGTACACAGATGACAGAGCGGTTCACCAACCTCTGTCATATGTCATACGGATTAATATCTCTCGCCAAGGTCGATTAGCGTGACTAGTTACTGGCGTCTAGGTTATTCCCCGATCATTTTTAAGCCCCTCATTTAACCCACCACAAACTACTACCTACTGTTAACTTAAACCTATTCTTATAACCCAATAATTCTATCCTTATATTACGTAATTAACCTAAAAAATATAATCCTTACGGATAATAGTTTATTCACATTGACCATCTGAAGCGGCGATGACATAAAGCCAAAGCATTCAGAATTGTAAGCAGACAGCTGCGCCATCTGTCAGGACGCTAGCGTAACTTAGTATTACCAACAGAGTTCCTGTTAGGGAAAATAGTTTTAAAAGTTTAAAACCAATTATGACCTCAACTTCGGAAATTCCCGAGTTGTCCGGTACACTCTGGTTTAATTGTTAATTAAGGAAACCACCTGATTAGTTTACCTCCACCTAAAACTAGTAATCCGATACCGCTAGGCGGTTCTGATAAACTTTTAATGAATAATTATCGATTGCGGTTGTTTTAATAATAAATTTAAAAAAGTTTAGTGTTTAATAAGTTTCAAAACTTACCCGACTCGATAATCTGTACAAGAGGGCGGTGGGTTCCAGACGGTACTGTGGCAAAGCATCCAGTCGCACCAGATCTGAAAAAAAAAAAAAAAAAGTATTAAAGAATTTTAATAATAAATTACAAATTAAACGGTTAGTTTTTGTTGAGATATTAAAAGCTGCCCAGGAAGAAATACATGTTAATATTTCCCGGACAGTAATAAATATCTGAGATGTGTATGTGATGTATTTGCGAATACTGTTACCGCATACCTCTCACCTCATTCTGTCTGGCTTATCGGGGATATTAATGACTCTGTTGGTTAGTAACTAAATTTAGACTATTATTTAATATTTATGTATCCACCCTCGGATGAATTTTATCTTAAAACACTGCAGTGGCATTTGAAATATCTCAATATTCTCCGTGAAAAAAAATTTATCCTTTAAAAAACAATAAACCAATAATAAATAATCAAGATTCCCGTTAACAATCCGATAGATCAAGATCTCGATCAAGATTGGTGAAAAGATTCCCGCTAGATTCGCTGATGAGTCTTTTCTCTCTTCAATTTAAAATAACAAAAAAGCGCAAGTTGTTTTAAAACTTTTTTTTTTTTTTTTTTTTTTTTTTTATTATAAACAAACACGCGTTGAAAGTCCCTCTAACACAAGATGAAATGCGAATGGTATCTCTATTGGCAAGCTGCCGAACGTAGATATCGATCAAGTATCGGGAAAAGATAGATAAAGCGAATCTATCTATCTATCTCTTTCTCATGGATTCTCTTCCGCGGCGGGATAATCGCCAGTGAGAAGAGAGATAAAATAATAGAGAGAGAAAAATGCCGGTAGGAATCTATCGAGCACCTACAATGCAGACATAACTATCTTCGTCTTAGTCTTGTGAGGGGTCGACGGGGTTTTCTTGTTCTTATTCTCAGTTCGAGTTGTTCGTCTTCTTCCTCTTGTTATTCCCGGTTGTTGGCTTACACAGTAGATACTTCTCATCGATTCTCTAATGTTATAGATGGACCCTACACGCATTCGATAGGTGCATTAATCGCACCCGCTTTAACGTCGTTGCATAATAAGCAGACGTAGAATAAGAGCAAAAGGTATGAATAACTAAGTATAAGCCGAGATATAAAATAAATAAATAAAATAATATGTACGTGGATTTTAATACATTGGCCACCTAGCAGGGATCATCGTAGGTGCAACTCTAAAACCTTCGGGTTAATAAATCCTGGCTTAAGAATAGCATTCGGAGGAAATCGGATCGAAGGTAACTATGAAATTAAAGTGCTGCTAACGCTGAGAAAGGTTATTAATTTTCAATTCTACGTTCATCCTTACTCACGAATTCATTAATAATGTTCCATCAGATAACGCACAACATCTGAGTTACATTATATGGAGAAATAAGAAGAACTAGTTAGTAGGCAAAAGGATCCTTACCTTGATAGTCGGCAAGAGGACCTGCATGTCTTCGTCAACAATCAGCCTGGGACGTTCCTTTGCCGCTTTATCCAGTTCTTCTCTTAGAAGCGCGACACTTCGCTCGAGAATCAAGTTGAACATCTGGAGCGACACCACTAGGGCGCGTTCCTGTACTTCTGAGCGGTACCCCTGCGCCATTTGGGAATCTGAAACAGAATAAAGCTGGTTGGTTAGCAAGATACTATAAATAATGAGTAGATATTTTGAAATGGCTGAGAATCTAGGGACAGGATGAAAACTCCTCACGAATAGGCTTTTCATTATCTTGTATATCCATCGAGGATAATCGACATATTCAACATTTCAGCGTGCCCTTTCATCCCGCAGCGGCTATCGAGAAAGATGTAGCCTCGTAGCTCTTTACTCTGGGATAGTAGAAAGAAGGAAGAATATACGCGAGGTTGTGTTTACGAAGGTGACATTGCCCGCGGTCTCTTTCATCCGAAGGAAATACCGTCCATACTACCGATGCTGTTTGTTACTCTCCGGAATCAAGTCTCTGAAGATTTTGCCGATCACTAAGTAAATATTGCAAATACCCTGAACATTGACTTTTAAAGCCGGAACATTCATTAATTTTATCTACTTTATACATATATAACTTTTTGGTAATAGTTAGTTTTTAGAAATTCCGACAGGTGGCGCATGGTCGCTATATTTTCTCCTAAGTAGAGAGTTAACTTTCAGGATATAAGTAATAAATTAAAAAAAAAAAAAAAAAAAAACGTTATTTTTTTCCTATAAGGAGAAGAGCGTTGCCGTGAAATGAGAATAATTTTCTTAAAGATTAAAATTAGTTTATAGGATGTTCGTGAGGCGCCTTGAGAGTCTCGGCGTGGTTACTACCAAGGTGTCGTTAAATAATTCAATTGGCTTCGTTGAAACGTTATAAGTTATAATTGACCCTTGAGCGTCTTCCTGGAGGGTGATATTTACTCAGATCACTTGTTGGCCAGCCCACTCAGACAACGACGAGACATCACCAAGTATATCTCTTGAGTCTATCAGAACGCCCTGCTGTCAATAATATGAACGGGCCAATCGAGGTGGTTATTATCAACCATCTCATTCCCTCATACTCGGTTATTTATTTTTCATTCACTCTCAGCATTAACTCATACAGGTTTTATTTTCCACTATTAAATATTCATCATCTTTTAATTCACATGATGGCTTTTTAAAGTAAAGTTAAAGGCAACGATCGATTTTATTATTTCTTAACAGAAACAACATCAAGTAAATAAATATGAGGTTAAACGGTTTACTCGTGTTGCTTCATTTAACTTGTCGCATATAGTTATTTAAATATTTTAATTCATTCCAACTGAATGAGTTTACCACCGACAATAATATACATAAAATTCCCCTGTATAGATATTAAAATTAATTAAGTTTATCGGCAAGTTAAATAAAGTGGGTATGATGATTGCGGGGCAATATCAATTCACCGTTAAAGTGTTCTCGTTAAGGTGCCTTGATGAAGAACGCCTTGACGTGAATATATACTTTCGCCTAAATTGATCTTCCTACCCAGACACCCTTTCGCGATACCGTCAAGATCGATTTAATGCATAACGTCTCTGTGCGGTGGGATTTCAATAAAAATCACCGGAAAGACCGGCTTTTCAATATCAATATTATCTCCTTACACTTATACTCCCCCTTCACCGACAAGATCGTTCTTTGATCATATATAAGAATAAATTTCAAGTTTGTTAATTGTCAATGGGTATAATAATTTTATTCAACGATCGATTTAATCGCAGATTGTGTAAGATAACTCTTAAAACGTATCATTTGACGAGCACGATGACGAAATATTCGTGTCGCTACATTACTCACTGGGATTTATCATGAAAAGAATTTATAATTTACCCTATAAATTTATTTTCCTCTATAAGCATTGATAACCTGAAGGTAATCGGGCGCCATTTTATGCTCATGAGATCGTGTTTAGTTTTTCGAGGATTTTTCATTTGATAGATTAGAGCTAGAAGAGGGGAATTGTTTATTGAGATCCAGTAAAAAAGGGTAGTTATATGGTTATATATATATATGAGGAGAAGAAACTCCCAGATTATAAAGTGGTATAACTCGGAATGAGCAATGAGCAATGGTAATGTAACTACTCAACTGCTCGTGGTAGAAGGCGTCCGATTACGATATCCCGCTCGGCATGTGAGTGCTTAGGAGATATATAACTCGCCGGAAATACCTTGAAGCCAACGACCCAGGAGACAAATAAGCGTGATGATCATCACGCGATATCTTCTACAACAACTTTTGTCGTTAATTTTAGCAAGAAAATTCAACTCAAGTCTATTTTAATCCAACCTGTTTCCGTTTGTTATTGCAAACGGAAATAAATTATGGTAATGCTCCATATGATTACGATGAGAAAGATTTGGTTGCTTAAATCTCTGCTTTTTGCAACAATTCTGACGAGCTCAAGACGGCCTTGACGAGGCCTTGCGAGGTCACCGACTTGCCGCGACACAGCTTATTTTCTGCTGGTTCATCTCTATCAAACTGCTCAATCAGATCTTGGAGATTCTGGTCCATAACACGTTGATTTGATATTGAATTCTGGCTACGAAAACTTTTGAGATATTAACTTACTCCAGTAGCCTTGAACTCAAAAGAGCCATAAACTTTAATAACACAAAGTTAACAGCAGATAAATTCGTGTCGTTCTAAGAAACTAAAACCTCTTTTCTCGATTTACTTTACTTACTGAGGATTTTTTTAGCTTCCTCGCCGCTTCTTGTGTGTAATTTTTTCTTTAACGCCTCGTCAACGATCGTGGCCTTGCGAACGAAAATCTTTAACCAGAATATGTCATTATAATTGTAGAGTATCTCGGTGGTGGATTCTGTTAGTTAGATCGCGTGTTTGATGAGACACCCCGTCAAGTAAAATGCACGTAGTTTATGTTAACGCAAATAACTTACAAATTATTTTAATTTATAAAAACATCTTTAGCATTGAGCAACACCTTCGAGACACGTAAAACGACAAAAGAAAAGAAATTAACTAAAAGCAAATTTGTTTTAATCGTTCACAAGCGTAATTATCCCAACAAAAAACATAAAACTTGTTCAGTATCCATTTAACTTTTTAATTTGAAAAGTTTCGTAATCCAAAAGATAATTTTTCAATCATCAATGACAAATGGACGTTTGATTTTTGTTAAATCGGTAAACCTTTAAGAACCCAAGAGTTTGTTCTATCGTCATTGGTTATTCATTATGGGAATTCAATTCACAAGATTTCTGCGCACGAACGGACATCGAGATAACGCCCTTAAAGTACAAAATAATCTCACGCACACGATCTCTGATTTATTTAAGACAAAGATGTGCGAGGAGCGTGCTAGTTCAATAGTTTGCTTGTTTTTTTTTTTTTTTTTTTTTTTTTTTTTTTTTTTTTTTCACGTTTTATAAAGTAAGTGGAAGATAATACTTTAATTGTCGTAGATATCGATGACAACAAATAATACTGATGCGATGAGATATTGAGTAAAAATGATCGCTAGCTAGATAAATTACAACTTGTTCGTTCTGGAGATTCGTTTCTTATGGAGGTAACAAAAAATAAAAGGAAAGGTGAAGCGGAGACTGAAGATAATGACCAGAAGAAGTGGTAAAGGTAGCAAAGAGAGATGACCACAAGTACAAGTCTGGGTGCGTTTTAAAAGATTTACTGTAGAATAGAAGGGAAAAGGGAAAAGGGAAAAGAGAGCAAGAGCATGCTGCTCATCGTTATAGGTTAAAACGTAACTTCTGTAACGTAACCATACATTTATAATACAAAGTGTAAGTGTAATATGTTGTATGGTGTATGTTTAAATAAAATAAAAAGTTACAAATTTAACTAACAGTCATTAGGGGAATTTCTTTAGCAGACCGGTGATTAAGGATCCTCATATACTGGTTTTCTGGTTATTACTCAACTTTACCAGCTTCTGAGAATGATAAAATAATTGAATTTGTTTTTAAAGAAAAAGGATTACAAGAAAGTTACATTGGCGATGTTACCGTTTGACGGGATATTAAAGAATCAAACAGTGAGCTTAAGAATTTTCTTATGCTTATGCTTATGTCGAATCCTTAAAACAACGACCTTGGTATGTCAGTTCCAAGAAACGTCGAATCGATTAGCCTCGAATAAAACAACCAGTACATTCTCTCCTAGAATTATGTATATAGAAAGATAGTAACAGTGTTGGCTTAAGCTAGAGGCTCCTGCTGGAGAAATCAACAAGAATAAGAAGATAAAAGAAGATCAAGATGATACTGAACAAGACCAACACCAACACTCAGAAGTTTAAGAATAAGATGATGATGATGATGATGATGATGATGATGATGATGATGATGATGATGATGATGATGATGATGATGATGATGGTGATGATGAAGAACAAGTATTTTCACCGCGGCTGTTCATTCACCCGACCTTCACAAGGTCACAGGCTTCCGAAAGAAAAAAAAAGCGAAACAAGTTGATGGCGCAGAAAAAGAGACTGTAGTGCGAGAGGGAGGAAACTCTACGAATAGTGTGCTACAGGAAGGGGTCTAATCAACGCCTGGCGTCATGCTCCAGGGAACACGCTCTTACTCTGCAGGAAGACGGTGGGCAAGCAAATAGAAGAGGAGCCTCGCAAGGACACGAACAATTTAAAACTCTTTCATTTAAAAATTCTTTGCCGTTTCGTTTGGTTACATTGATTTAGTACCCAAACAAATGATTCCAACTGAAGAAATAGTACAAATAGTCTTCGAGGATTACGTGCTGGTGAATCAAAGAAATTTTCTCGCGTTCCTCCAGCCCTGAAGATGTGACACTTCTATCCTTGTTAGATTTGCCCGGCGTTCTTCCTCAGATTGTAGCTTCTTCCTCGGTTTCTATTTCTTCTTCAGCCGTAGGTGATTGCGCGCATGCACCAGAGGGAACGTGTGTCGCCCGTGCGTGTCGTGCGTACAGTTAAAAATAACACTTTCCGAGATATTTATAGCTATCACCCGTGGTTGGAGGCAACGAACTGGTACGAGGTACGAGAGTACATAGTTATAGCTGTGTGCTCTTTCCTCAGGATTCTCGTTGCTGGATGAATAAAACCCAAGCGGTTACCATCTCACTCGAGTAGGATCACTTTAAAAATACGATAAGAGGTAACCGGTCCAAGTCCTCAACGAGGGCTCTGATGCACAACTAGAGCATGGAGTGAGATAAATAGGAATACCGAGGGATACCCTCTC